TGAGCTCCTGGAAAGCCTCAGTAGCACTATCAGACCACTTGAACTGGTCCCTTCGCAATAAGTCGGTCAAGGGAGCGGCAATGGTGGCGTAGCCTTTTATAAAACGTCTGTAGTATCCTGCTAACCCGAGAAAGCCTCGAAGTTGTCGCACTGTTTTTGGTGTCGGCCAAGATACAATAGCGTCCAATTTATTTGGGTCAACATGGATCCCTTCTTTGGTGATGATGTGTCCGAGATACTCGGTTGAGTCTTGGCAAAAAACACATTTGGCTAATTTCAAATAAAATTGGTGACTCAGTAAGCATGAAAGGACCTGGTGTAGGTGCTCCAAGTGTTCTTCAAGTGTCTTGCTGTAAATAAGAATGTCATCAAAGAAAACAGTGACAAACTTCTGGCGAAAAGCAGCAAGTACCGTATTCATGGTTGCTTGGAAGGTGGCGGGTGCGTTAGTCAATCCAAACAGCATAACCAAGAACTCATAATGTCCATCATGAGTGCGAAAGGCTGTCTTATGGATGTCACGTGCTTGAACCCAAATCTGGTGGTATCCTGCTCGTAAATCCAGTTTAGTGAACACAGTTGCTCCACCCAGTTCATCAAACAGTTCATCTGCTGTCGGAATAGGGAAATTGTCCCGGATTGTAACAGCATTAAGTGCCCGGTAGTCCACACAGAAGCGATAAGTTCCGTCCTTCTTTCGAACTAGTAATACCGGGGATGAGAACGGGCTGTGACTAGGACGAATGATACCTTGAGCCAACATTTCTTTCACTAGACGTTCCATTTCACTTTTCTGAAAGTGAGGGTAACGATAGGTCCTTACATTGATAGGTTTGGTTTAGTGTTAGGCAGAAGATATATTCGATGGTCGAAGGACCGTTTTGGAGGAAGTGATTTAGGGGAATCAAACAATTCAGAAAATTCAAGCAACAATTGTTTAAATGGCTGGTGGCAGACTAGAAGGAAGAGATAATGATGTGGCTGAGGTGTGTCTGGGGTCATGGGGGAAGGTTCTCCACTTAGTTGATATATAGCAAAAACACAGTCAACGTTGTTGGAGTCAACCTCAGCTTCTAACTGTGAAAAGGAAATCGGTTGAATGTCTAAGCAAGTTTCTCCCCGCAATGTAACCATCTTCCCTTCGTGTTTGAATTTCATGGTTAAGTTGGCGTAATCATGTGCCACAGTTCCCAGACTTTGTAACTAGTGAATGCCTAGGACCAAATCAGGCCCGGCAATAGAAAGGACATACAAATCCATCTCAAAGCGGGTACCTTGCAAGTTCACAACAACGTTTGGGCAGTAATATTGGCATAGAAGCGTGTCACCATTGCCAATATAAACCTTAAACGGTTTAACTGGGTGTACGGGCAACTTTAGTGTTTCAACGGTAGATGGCTTGATAAAATTGTGAGTGCTCCCATTGTCAATCATGACCAAGAAATTTTGATTGTTTATGTTTCCCCAAATTCGCAACGAACGAGGGTTGTCATGACCAGAGTGTGTGTTCAAGGCTGAGATATCCCCTGCTATATCGTCCACTTCATTTCCGTCTGGTTCTAGTTCAGAGTTTTGAGGTCCATCCTCTTTGTGGTCAGATGCAGCAATTAGAAGGTTGAATTTACTCCTACATTTATGACCAGGGGAGTATTTTTGGTCACAGTAGAAGCACAAACCCTTCTCTCGTCGCGCTTGAACCTCTGTGGCGCTCATCCTTCTTACTGGAATGTTTTTAGTGATAGGTTGATTAACAAGAGTTGGTGTGGGCAGAATACCTTTTGAATTAGTGGAATTAGGAGCAGCGTTGGACCCTTGACCTCCAGTATTCCATGTTCTAGTCTCAGGCATAGTTGATGCGTTCTTGGGACTCCATACTTTGGATGTAGTGCGATACTCTTTCTGGTTTTCATCATGCCGTGCTTCGTATGCCTTAGCCAACTTAAAGGTCTCCAAAAGCGTTTGAGGTTTGGCAATCAGTAACTCTCGTCTCAACCCGGATTTTAGTCCGCCCACAAAGAAAGAGATCAGCAAGGTCTCCGGAATTCCGGTTACATTGTTCATGAGCCGTTCAAATTCAGTTTGAAACTCTGCCACCGTCCCCTTCTGTGTTAATTTCGCCAATTTGGCTCGGTGATCTTCAAAGTGTTGGGTACCGAACCGTTGTTGTATCTTTTCTAAGAAATCGTGCCACCCATATATGAGGTTGTTGCGTTTTGTCCAACGATACCATTCAGCGGCATCCTTCTCTAAGCAAAAGCCTGCTATTTGTAGCCTCTGGTCTTCTGGGGTTCTGTGGAAATCAAAATATTCTTGAATGCTGAATATCCATTGTTGCGGCTCTTCTCCGTTGAATTTGGGTATGTCAAGCCGCATGGTAGAAGGGCGAGGCAATGGATGTCCGGTATAAGGTGGGTCAGATGGGTCGGAATGAAGCGGAGAACTTGATTCTCCTATCGTGAAGCCGTCAGGGGGCCTCCCCGGGGTATCAAAGGTCTGCTCCCTCCCTCGGATACTCTGCAATCGTGCCTCCATGGTTGCTGTGAGGGAAGTTATCTGTTCTCCCAGTTGGCATTGAATTCGTGATTCCTGGGATGCCATTTGCTCACAGATTTGATTTTGAAATCTGTCAAGCATTTGCTGCAGCGAATTTAGATCAAAGGGTGTGTCGGATGTCCTCACCATGGTTGGTTCTCTCAATGAAAGCACCAGTGATACAACGTAGTTGTACAGCAGATCCTTAGTTCGAGTCAAGGATAAACTCCCAAGGGAACAAATAGAGAAGAATGTAGAATTTCAGGAATTAATTACTAGTCATTCCAAATATGTTCTACTAGCAGAGATATATACTGCTATATTACATGGGCAGCAAGACACGAACTAAACAACAATCCCACGTACTAGCTAAATTATAGGAGATAAAACATGAGAGATTAAACTAAAATTAAGGCATGATGAAATCAGCAAAACGTGCAGGGAGTTTCCTGGCCCGAGTGCCAACTGTTTTTCCATGGTTTCCCTTGTCAGTTTCTTTGGGTGTATCAACGGATGTGTCACTATGCCCGGCGTTAGTAACGGGCGGTGGCTGCGGGAGTGACCGGCGGTGGTGGCAGTGACATGGGGCGGCCGACAGTGACATGGGCGGTGGTAGTGACATCCGATAGTGACATAGGAATTGGACAGTGACATAAATACGTGGCAGTCACTTATATTTTTCTAAATGTATAATATCTTAGTCACATTTTTGTCTAAATATAAATGCTATCACATTTCTCGAAATCACATTTCTAAATACATGTTGTTATAGCTATTAATAAATAATGTGGAAGCTCAAGACAGCAGAAGGAGGTAGCCCATGGCTGCGGACTTTGAACAGCCACGCCGGCCGTCAGACTTGGGACTTCGATCCGAACCTTGGCACTCCCGAAGAATTGGAGGAGATCGAAAAGTTTCGTGAGAATTTTCGCAAGAACAGATTCCAACAGAAACACAGTTGGGATCTTCTAATGCGTTATCAGGTTGTTGTTTAGTGAATGGCTTATGCCACACTTTAGCTCTGATATCTTATTAAAAATAAATAGTCAAATATAAATTCAAGAGCTGCTTTGTTTTGCTGAACAATTTGACTATTTGGTGGAAAATTACTGAAAGGGAATGAAAGGGTTGCATTTCCACGTATTGCTAGGCAGTATGCAAGCTGACAATTTTTCAAAATCAGGTGCTCTACAATTCTTCTGACTTTTTCTTTTCTTCTTGGACTGTAGTTTGCCAAGGAGAACCCGGTAAGCACACTGTTACCTCAAGTAACATTAAAGGACAATGAAGATGTTACAAGAGATAAAGTAACTAGAACCCTGAAAAGGGCCGTAACTTTTCATTCGAGCATACAAGCTCAAGATGGTCATTGGCCAGGAGACTATGGAGGTCCAATGTTTTTAATGCCTGGTTTGGTTAGTGCGTACATAGTGATTCTATAAAGACTATGTTATTAAACCCTGCATTTAGATGTGAACTTGTATATTATCTCAGTTTATGGACATGCTAAATGCATAGAATTATACATATAAAATATTGATGAAATAGGTAATTACTCTTTCTGTTACTGGGGCATTGAATACGGTGTTATCGAAAGAGCATAGACGTGAGATGTGCCGTTATCTTTACAATCACCAGGCAAGAATCATGTAATAATGCATATCGAATTCTGTTTTTGTGTGTGGCTTTTCATTTTCTGATAAATGTTTTATGTATTGATCGAATTGCAGAATAGTGATGGTGGCTGGGGTTTGCATATTGAAAGCCATAGTACCATGTTGGGTTCTGTTTTAAGCTATGTTACCTTAAGACTCCTTGGGGAGGGAGCTAATGATGGAGGCGGGGCAATGGAGAAGGGCCAGAAATGGATTCTAAATCATGGTGGTGCCACATATATAACATCGTGGGGAAAAATGTGGCTCTCAGTTCCGTACTTTTAACTTTTATGTTGTACTGTAGTTCCTCTTGCGTTTGTTGGGTTAGTTTTCTCTCTCTACTACTAATACTATGACTTCCATAACACTTGGACTTTGTTCTCCTAGGTGCTTGGCGTATATGAATGGTCAGGAAATAACCCTCTTCCTCCAGAAATATGGCTTCTTCCGTATTTTATTCCAATCCACCCAGGTTATAGCTGTCCAATTTGTACATTTAATTTTTTTACTATTAATATGCTCTATATATATGGTTTTATGTATGTTACTCTCTCAGTTTATATATTATGAAACTGCTATATATGAGTAATACTTCATATATGTTACTTGCTCAATTTATACATGATAAATTTGTTATATATAAGTAATAGTTTATATATGTTACTTGCTCAGTTGATAGGGATCTACCTATCATAGGAATTGGGCCTACTAGATTGTTAAGAATTGGGCCTAATAGACCAAGAATATTAATAAGTGTAATAGACTAGTATAAATAGAAATAAGTTGGGAATAGTAAGGAGGCTGTTTTTAGACTTTGACTTTGGGACTTTGGGATTTGGGAGATCCAGAACTATTCTCTTTCTTTGGGGGCTTCGGCTCAACTGGGGGCTTCGGCCATTTGTTACGATTACTGTTCTTCTTCTCTAATAAAATTGCAGTTAGTTTTCTTGAATCTTCTTCTATAATCTTCTGTATTACTGTACATACTTATCATTGGTATCAGAGACTGTTCGATTCCTGGATGAGAATTACGCGCGCTAAAATGGAAGGCAGAATTAACGATGTGGAGCGGAATCAGAGAGAGATGGAGACGAGGACTGAGAGGCATCTGCAGGAAATTCAGAATACGCTGTTGGAGAGAATGGCGGCGATGCAAACTGACATCGCAAGGTTGCAGGTCAATCGATCGGGACGGTCGGGGAGCCATTCACATCGATCGAGTACGTCGCATCGATCATCTCACCGGCGTTATGCGAAGAATGGCGATAGTTTAGAAAGTTCGGAGTATGAATCAAACCCTACAGCCTATCCACATGATTCCGGACATCGTCGAATGCACAAATATCATCACCATTCGCCTCACCATCATCGTTCACTTCACCATCATCGTTCAACTCACCACGCTAAAATGGAAGGCAGAATTAATGATGTGGAGCGGAATCAGAGAGAGATAGAGACGAGGACTGAGAGGCATCTGCAGGAAATTCAGAATACGCTGTTGGAGAGAATGGCGGCGATGCAAACTGACATCGCAAGGTTGCAGGTCAATCGATCGGGACGGTCGGGGAGCCATTCACATCGATCGAGTACGTCGCATCGATCATCTCACCGGCGTTATGCGAAGAATGGCGATAGTTCAGAAAGTTCGGAGTATGAATCAAACCCTACAGCCTATCCACATGATTCCGGACATCGTCGAAGGCACAAATATCATCACCATTCACCTCACCATCATCGTTCACTTCACCATCATCGTTCAACTCACCATCATAGTTCACGACAAGCAACCAGCTCAGAAGGATCGGAAAACAATTCGGATTACTCTCCTTCACGTCGACATCAACACCGCGATCACCACAGGTATCATCGAAATCATCCTCCTATAGGAAGGAAAATCGAATTACCTCTTTTCAATGGGGAAGACGCAGGCGGATGGTTAGTCAGAATGAATCGCTACTTCCGCTTGAATAGGACTGAAGAAGAGGATAAGATTGACGTTGCAGTCGTGGCTATGGAAGATCAGGCCTTAAGCTGGTTTCAATGGTGGGAGAGGCAGGCTACGCATCAAAACTGGAACTCTTTTACTCAAGCATTGACCAGACGCTTCCAGCCAGGCATGGTCAAGGATCCTCTGGGGCCTTTATTCAGTTTGAAGCAGAAAAATACCATAGAGGAATATCGAGACAAATTTGAGACTGCAATTGCTACACATGGACACTTAACTGAAGAGGTATTGAAAGGAGCGTTTCTTAAGGGCCTCAAGCGTGATGTAAAAGCTGAGTTGAAGCTATACTCTACAAGAACTTTGGCTGAAGTTATGGATGTGGCTTCTTTAATTGAGAACAAGAACTCTGAAGCCTTGATTGTTAAGAATAAAGAGGAAGGAAGAAAAACAGGACAGAGCTATCCTAAATGGGGAGATGGTAGTCGAAATAGTTATAATCTGGCATCTACAAATCAATTGATGAAGAACTCAGATGGTAGCCAGAAGCTGGAAGAAGGATCAAGTTCTGTTTCTATGAAGACAAGTCCCAGATTATCACAGAGTGAGCTGCAAGAAAGAAGTAAAAAAGGGTTATGTTTCAAGTGTGGCGAAAATTGGAACAGGGGTCACATTTGTAGAATGAAAAATTTTACAATGATGCTGGTAGAACAATCTGAAGGTGAGGAGAAATCTGATACTGATTATAGTAAAGATAAAGGAGAAGAAGGAATACATATGGAAGCTAAGACTATGCAATTATCTGTAGTGGACAAAGAAGGAACATCACCCATGAGCACATTCAATGTCCTGGGAAATCTGAAATGGATGACTGAGGAAAAGAAGGTGAATATCTTGATTGATTGTGGAGCTACTCACAATTTCATTTCACAGAAGATTGTTGAGGAATGGAATATACCTTTTAATTGCATTAAGGGGAATAAGGTGCAGATGGGGAATGGGGAATTTCTTCCCAACTATGGTAGGTGTGATGGGTTGACAGTGGATGTACAAGGTAATGCAATTCTGCAGAAATTCTACATTCTGAAATTGGGGGAAATTGATGTCATGCTGGGAATGGAATGGTTAGCTGGCCTAGGAGATATGGCAGTTAACTTTCGGAATCAGACCCTCCAATGGGAGGTGCATGGGCAGAAGGTACATATACAAGGAGACTCTTTATTAAGGCAACTGGAAGCTTATAAGGACATGAAGAGCCTGATAAATAAGAATGGAGAAGGAAAAGGGCTGAACTACCAGGAGTTATCAAAGAATGCAGTCCCCTATGTGGCAACAGGCTGCACCTTAGTCTCCACAGAAGCTGCAGGAATCAATGTTTTGGATAAAATGATATGGCACCTGTGTAACTCTGCTGCAAAGTATTTATGGCAGAGGATAGAAGTAGTAAAGCTTATGATCCAGCAGTCAGTCAAGTATTGGAAGGGAAGGGGGACTAGGATGAGGGGAAAGGAGGAAGTCTTGGCTGTTTCCTATCACCCACCTTGAGGGCAAGGTGGATGTTTAGGGAGGGAGTATTGATAGGGATCTACCTATCATAGGAATTGGGCCTACTAGATTGTTAAGAATTGGGCCTAATAGACCAAGAATATTAATAAGTGTAATAGACTAGTATAAATAGAAATAAGTTGGGAATAGTAAGGAGGCTGTTTTTAGACTTTGACTTTGGGACTTTGGGAGATCGAGAACTATTCTCTTTCTTTGGGGGGCTTCGGCTCAACTGGGGGCTTCGGCCATTTGTTACGATTACTGTTCTTCTTCTCTAATAAAATTGCAGTTAGTTTTCTTGAATCTTCTTCTATAATCTTCTGTATTACTGTACATCCTTATCATCAGTTTATATATGATCAAATTGTACTTATATATCAGGTAATTGAGCTTGCATAGCCAGATTGTTATATATCTGATTTTTACTATCAGATTGTTTGATTTTTTTACTAATAAACTGTGTTTGATTAGACAGATCAATATATATAAGTATCAGTTTAGAACTGTTTAAGCTTTTTACTATTAATAATAGATTATCAGTTTTTTTACTATTTAAAAAGCTTGAGTATTATGTAGTATTATATTACTCCTCCAATATGCATCATTTTTGTATGTGATTGTAAAATTTTTTGTCAGAAGGCTTCATGTAGAAAGTAGTATAAATGTAGTTTGGCAAAGCTACGTGGCTAAGTTTCATGAGGCGCGTGCCTCGCGCCTCGGCTAAATTGAACAAAAATGTCTCATGCCGCCTCGTGGCTTTTAAAACTGATTAATTTGAACACTATCTTTGAGCATAGGAGATTAATTTCTTTCACAAGTATCATCATCATCATCATCATCACTACATCAGGGTCAACAACATTAAGTCTTTTCTTTTATAAGTATCATCATCATTGTTATCATGCCTAAATTCATTGAGCAACCTCTATATATGGGAACTCTTGGTACTCAAAGTATGGACTGATAATAATAGAGATTCTCTTTTCAACAATGTCAATTAATTATTAAAAATCAGTTAACAACTCTGAGTTCATGCAAAGAAGCAGTTAAAGTTGTATGCCAAATGCCCTTCCTGTCGTGACCTTCTAGAGAAGAAATAAGGATATGAAATCCAAAGTCATCAATACCCTAAGTTTTTTCCACTTGCATGGGAAATAGAAAACTCATGAGAGGGTAATGCGTAGAATAGTTGCTATTATCAGGGTCCATTGGAAATTGGTATTCCTGAACCAACATTTGAGACAGAAGCTGTCAATTCCATAGCTATTTTATTATTAGAATGTTGTTGTTGTTATTGTTGTTGTATTTATTGCCTTGTCTGAAGAAACTTCTACATCCACCAATTCCACAGGAAGAATGTGGTGCCACTGCCGGATGGTTTATCTGCCTATGTCCTACTTGTATGGGAAAAGGTTTGTCGGTCCAATTACGCCAATAGTTTTATCTTTGAGGAAGGAATTATTCACTGTCATGTATCATGAAATCAACTGGGACCAGGCACGGAACCAATGCGCAAAGGTGTGTAAAGCTTGTACTCCAATCTTTTAAGAGTGCTTATAAATTTAAATTATTCATATTTAACTCTCAATTTCTAATTCTGGTGCACTCTTTGTACTACAAACTTCAACCTTTAACTATATGTTCTTGTCACATTAATCCATAGAATCCTTTAGTTCCCATACCAAAATATTAAAGACAGAAGTATGGGTTTAGATTTTAGAAGATCCTAAGTTGAACTAAGCTAATTGGCTATTTTTAATCTTTTGGTGTGGTCTGCAGTCTGCCATGTGTTAATTATGATCCATTTGAGTGACTAAACTCGATTATGTATCCTATAAGAATATAGAATATCCCATTGTATATAGAAACTTCTTCACTCTGATCAAAAACTAGCTTTCCCATGCAATGAGTGGACATTAATATATTATTGACAAACCTGTTACCGGTTACTAGTAGAACCCTGAGATCTTGATGTTCTTGCGATGTGCTGTACCCTAGCGCCCTAGCTACAGAGCTACTTGCTTTAGGAAAAAATAGACGTTTTGAAGGAGCTTGATTTGAGGCTCCTTACAGTACAGGCTTTGCCTCTTACCTACCGACTAAATAAAGATATGTGCCTAATTTTCCATTCAAAGAAAGGTTCTTGTTTGGTAGCAATAGTTGTAGTTACTAGTGAGATCTCAATCACTTTGTTAGTGAACAGTTTGCTCCTTATCTTATATCCCTCCTAGGACAACTTCAACTGAAGTTGTTGATCATTTATTAGGACTCAGAGTAACCTAAAATCTTATATATTTATTTATTAGAATGAATTTTTTAGCTCAGGACAACTTGATTGACTCGGCCTTCTAAGATGGAACATCAGACCTTAATATGATATCAAAGTTAATTCAGTTGTGGGTTGATTGTTTATCTAGCACTCATGATTAAAGATTGCTCGTTTATGCGTTGATCATTTTTTGGCTCATTCGTACACCTGGATGTTGTCCAACTCGGTTTGGGCTGAATTATTCCACACCGGATTGATATAACATAGTATATGAATCATAGTAGATGAGAGTATCAAACATGGAACTGCAGGCCTTAACAGTCATTTTCTTATTTTTAAGGAAAAGATGGAAACACAAGTAGAGAACCGAGTGAAGAGATTCAGCTTAAATGGCGAGATGCACATGGTTGATGTGGGAACTTTTTAAAAGTAGGAGTAAAAACGATGTGATTTCACTAAGTAGAAGTTACTGTGTTTTTCACCTAAATAAGATTAAAGTAGTGCCATCCTGAAATCATACCATTATATTTTGGCATTATTAGGCATTAATATAGTAGTCTTAATTCCCTAACATGGCACTATTGTTCAACCATGATACTCCTACAGTCCTACTTAGAAAAAACGTAGTACTCCTATGCAACCACACTGTTTTTTCTCCACTTTAGGGTAACTTCTTCATCTATTAAAGATATGTGATTTTGCTGCAGGAAGATCTTTTTTACCCTCACCCTCTAGCACAGGACATACTTTGGGCTGCACTTCATAAGCTTGTTGAACCTGTTTTGATGTGTTGGCCTGGTAAAAAGTTGAGAGATAAAGCTCTTCGCACTGTTATGGAACACATACATTATGAAGATGAAAACACTAGATACATATGCATTGGCCCTGTAAACAAGGTTTGGCTTCTACAAGTGTGCGTGACATTAGTTGAATGTGTTTTATGATGTTATCTTCACATGCAATGCACTTAGGTGCTCGTAGTTTGATTCTTGTCGTGATTAAGGATATTCTTAGTAGTAGATTAGAGGACACATAATAGGGGCAGTTTCCTCAGGACTCCTAAACTGCTTGAAATTTTAAATTAATAAAGCATGTATTTGTAGTTTTGTACATTGACAATTCATAAACGTGAATATATAGAATCTTCCGAAGTTGAAATTAGGTATGTTCTAACTTCCAAGTATGTTTATAGAAATGAGTTTTCACTTTAAGAGGTTGAACTTTCATACTCTTTTGGCTCAGAGAGCCAGTCAAACCTTTCTAAGAATTTTCATTTAAGGAAGCTATTAGCGATAGAATTCAGTGTGAAAAACTGACATGTTAAATCCTTTTTACTTATAGAACAAAGTATCTACTGTGACAAACTTGTAATTGCCAAACGATGTGTAGCTAAATATGCTATTGCAATATGTTGCTGAGTATGCTATTATTACTGAAGGTTGAATTCAAATAAAATTCATATATCTAGTTGATCGAAGACTTTTTGTTTTATTCCCAATCTTCACTATTATTGTAATTGATGATAGGAAATGAAGTGTGGTGGTGGGAACTTTTCTTGTAATAGAACTTTGTTTTCTTCATGTGCAGGTGTTAAATATGCTTTGCTGTTGGGTTGAAGATCCCGATTCAGAAGCTTTCAAACTGCATCTTCCAAGACTTTCTGATTACATTTGGGTTGCAGAAGATGGCATGAAAATGCAGGTGGAATAGCACAAATGGTCTTCTGCTGTTCTCAAGAGACATTATATTTATTGCACTTAACATCGCATCCATTGTCATGATTTTTATAGTTTTTACTCTTTCATGAAGTTGTTTATACTTGTTCCTCCTATGTAGGGATATAGCTAACAGTTGAGAGCATATTACAGGGATATAATGGCAGCCAATTGTGGGACGCTGCATTTGCTGTTCAAGCAATCATATCTACTGATCTTGTTAATGAATATGGTAAAACTTTGAGAAAAGCGCATGAATACATAAAGAACTCCCAGGTGGAATTTTTTGTCCTAAAATCTTCATTTTTGTTGTCATGCCATAACCTGACCGTAGTATATCTTAGTTTTATGGTTCTTCTTAATATTTCATTTGATTCAAAGGTATTAGATGACTGCCCAGGAAATCTCGATAGCTGGTATCGTCATATCTCAAAAGGTGCTTGGCCTTTCTCAACTGCAGACCATGGATGGCCCATATCAGATTGTACTGCAGAGGGATTGAAAGTAATTATTTTCTTTCAATTTGTAAATATGTAGTATTATTTTTCTGCAAGTCCTGTCCCTTTGCGTGTCTTTGGTTTTCCTTCCACAGAGTTGGCACTCTGGCTCAATATGAAATTGTGATTTTAATGACATTGTTACTATTATTTACTTATTTTTATATATATTGGTGGGTGAATGTTTCTTCCTTCTGAAAATAGGCATCTTTGGCGTTATCTAAGTTACCCCTAAAAGTTGTTGGGGAGCCATTAGACACCAAGTGTTTGTTTGATGCTGTAAACGTTATACTCTCATTACAGGTAATGCCCACTATCACATTGTTATTTTATTATGGATGTCACATAAATTCAATAATAAGTGCGTTCAGTTAAGAGCTACACTGAATACCGGTATTCTTGGACATCCTGATAAGCATTTAAGTTTTGATCAAGTTTATGTGGTTTTTGGTATATCCCCGTGTCTTTAGGCAGCCACCAGGGTGAGAGAACTCATTTGGTTTTTGTCTTCCTAGATAGGCTAATAAATTCACATAATACTGTTTTCAGAAAATGTTTTCTTGTTCAAACTTCCAACACATGTTAGAGTCTAAGCCTCTTTTTAACAAACCTCTGCATGAGCTTTCTTCCTTTTATGAACTATATATATGCCTGTTTTGCATCATAGTGATAGTTCTTAATTGTGATCTAGAGGCCACTAGCCCTCCAAGTTTATGAGCCTTCCTTTTCACCAACCTGTGGTAAGATGAGTAGGTTTGACAGTTCTGGACTGTCGATCCAGACACTCTGACTCTTTAGTTCGTTATATCTACATTGTTCTGTTGCATACTTGCTCTTTCTTATGTTGTGAATATTTCAATGTTCTTAAGCATTGAAAAGGAACTACCTTTGTGCTTACTTTCTGCAGAATCCAGATGGTGGCTATGCGACCTATGAACTGACAAGATCATATCCATGGTTGGAGGTAACATCCTGTGGCACAACGTTTCCATGTTCAACTCTGCATTAGCACAATACGATTCAGCTCTGTACAAAAATGTCTTTGCAGTCAATAAATTCTGCTTATACAGGCGCTGATTCATTGGTGCTCTTATATTCAGTGGAGGCTAGTTTGTAGAAATTCTAATCTGAAATTAAAGGCCATTTGCAATTTATATTTCCTTTTCCTCATAAAAATATGAGAAAAGGGTAAAAGAAGGTCTTTATTAAACTTGAAGGTTCTCATCCTTATGTAAAAAAACCTTATGTGCCAATGCGAATGCGTTTGATGATCTTTCCTTAAACTGGGTGCGCAACCAATAGGCCAATTAAAATAAAAGGTTGGAAGAATACTTTAGGCTGTGACAGAAGTGCTTCCTTAAATTTGAAGAGTGGTAGCATATCTACAAAATACAGTTCAATTAAATCTGTTTCACATTCTTCCCTTATGCTTTTTTTAGTTACCCATGATGATGGGGGGGGGGGGGGGGGAATCCCCGGTATTAGTTGTAGCATCTTTGTTCTCAATTATTAATTGTAATTTGAAAAATATACTCAGAGATCTACTATCTACTGCCCTTATGTTATAAAAAAGTATTATATACTCCTGCGCTGATTTTAAGGTACTTTTTTGTGCAGTTAATCAACCCTGCTGAGACTTTTGGTGATATTGTCATTGATTACCCGTGAGTCTAGCCACATCTATCTTTTTTATCCAGCTATGTCCCATTTATTTGTTCCATCAGTTTGAGATCATGTGTCTGATCTCGAACGAACTTTTCTCTATGCAGTTATGTTGAGTGTACTTCAGCTTCGATTCAAGCGTTGACAGCATTTAAGAAGTTGTACCCTGGACATAGAAGAGAAGAATTGGAACATTCAATTGAAAAATCTGCAAAGTTCATTGAGAAGATTCAAAAACCAGATGGCTCATGGTTGGTTTTTGCCTTTGATTGTCACCTGTTTCCACTAGTGTTCAAGACATGATTTTTTCAGTCTACAGACTTGCTGTTCTTAAATCTTACTACTCTCTCTGTTCTTAGAAGACAAAGGGACCTATTTCAGAAAAAATCTAAGCAATATATACGATAGTATATAGTATATAGATAGATAGGAATGTTCAGGTCCGAACATTCCCCGTCCGAACACCGTCCGAACAACGCCGTTCGGGGTGTTTCCCGGTGGAATTTTTTGTTGAAATTTTTATGGTATGTTGTTCATTAAGTCTAGTTTATCCATACCAAATTTCAGCTCAAAATTCGATCGGGAAGGCCTTAAAATGATTTTTTGAAGTTGACTGCGTTTTTCTATGTATAATTTGGCGCAGTCAACTTCAAAAAATCATTTGAAGGCTTTCCCGATCGAATTTTGAGCTGAAATTTGGTATGGATAAACTAGACTTGATGAAGAACATACCATAAAAATTTCATCAAAAAATTCCACCGGGAACCGCCTCGAACGGCGTTGTTCGGACGGGGAATGTTCGGACCTGAACATTCCTCTATATATATACTCCGTGTACACACACACACACATATAGGTGAAACTTTTCAGGAGCATAGAGTGTGCCACATAACCACGCAATGTCATTATTTATTATACGTAGTATATAAGTAATTAAATTATTCTTTATCATATACTACGTATAAGGATATAAAATTAAGATTCTCATTTCTCAATAAAAAATAAATGAATAAATTCAAGATTAGCAAATAAAATTAAGATTCTTAATTCTTAATCGAAGATTCTTTATTGTGAGTTCAGTTTTGAGCATAGTTGTCATGGCATCGCCTAGGTGATGCTTAGGCGTCCAGGTGGTGGAGAGCACTCGCCGTGGCTTCTTGCACGTTGCGCCGCTTGAATAGCGCCAAACATTGAATGGCCTCGCTCAGACATCAACTAGGCATTTGTAGGGCGACCAAGATAGATATTTTCCAAATCTATTTTTGATCCGGCAGCTCAATCCGTCATGTTTGCATTTTCTTTCTTGCTTTTCTTCATTCTATCATCTTCCCTTTTCTTCATTTTCATTTATTTATTTACCTTTGTACTTTAGATATCAATAATATAAATCACATCACTGCTTTTTGAGTTTTTGCTAAAGTGTTGTAGTTTAATTTATTAGAAATTGATATTAAACTCTTGTATTTAGATAATATATTAAATTAAAATATTGCACACTGCTATTTGTCGCCTAGGTATTTGCCTAGTCTCCTAGGTGACAAGGTGATTCGTTAGTGCCACGCTGTGCCTAGATGCTCTGACAATGTTGGTTTTGAAAATGAATTACTTGAGAGGTATAATGCATAATGCTATGGAAAATTAATTTAGTAGTGCAAACATATTCAGTAGAAAAAACTTGTTGCATAATGCACATATGGGAACTCAATTTATTTACTTTGATCCCATAACACATACACATTGAGTAGAAATTACCAATGTCATCACATTACAGAGTGATATAATAATATGGTGAAATTGCATTATTGTTATTTCGGAGAATTACTATATAATTAATGCAAATATTCTATATCATGCATTCACAAATTAAACTTGGATCCTTATTTAAACAGTTATGGTCTCTTTTTTTAATTTACCTGTTCGCTTGTTCCAAGATGAAATTTGTATTATACAAATGATCAGGTATGGCTCTTGGGGTGTTTGCTTCACTTATGGTACATGGTTTGGGGTATTGGGACTCGTGGCTGCTGGAAGGAACTTTAGCAATTCTTCCAGCATTCGCAAGGCTTGTGATTTTCTGATGTCAAAACAACTTCCTTCTGGTGGCTGGGGGGAGAGTTATCTATCTAGTAGTACAGGGGTTAGTGTTATGATCTTTTCTTCAGTATATTCATTCTTATATCAAAGCAACTCGTCTTGTTTCAAATTATCAAATTTAGCCTTTACAGTATGTCAATGATGCCCATACCACACTAGATTCTTCTGTGCTGTAGAATGGGTATTATTGACAATATGCATTGCTTTGCTACTTTTTGATCATTAACTTTGACTTCTCACAGTATTAGGTTGAACAGCCTAAACAGTGAAAATGTATAAGCTGTTCTATCATCTATGTAATAGCTATAGCTAAAAATCAAACGTTTTCCTAATAAATTCTATGCTTCTCTGATCAGAACCTTGTTTGCCACTATTTTTATCCGGAAATCAATCGCTGAAAGCTTACAAAGTAATTTTATGTATATCCTGATGATGAAGAAATTCTTTTCAGTTTGTATCTGTTCATGGCTTCATGCTAAATTTGAATTTGTCTAATGCAGAAATATTTCTCACTCTTTGTAATAATCTCTTAGGTTTATACAAATATTCAAGGCAACAGATCTCATGTAGTACATACAGCGTGGGCTATGTTGGCCCTAATTGCTGCTGGACAGGTGAGCATCTTGTTTACTTTTAAAATGATTTCCTAATTTGAGATGTCTATTTCAAATTACAATATATATTCAGGTTTTCATACTGTCAATTTTTAATAGATCTTTTCTTAAATTTGAAATGTCCTGATTACTTGATTAGGGTATTTCTGTCGGACCATTCCATGATGTGTGAAGATACTTATGTTAGTTATGTGATCTCCTAAGATGTAAATTTTTATGCTTGAAATTCTCAGGCTGAGAGGGATTTGACTCGGTTACATCGTGCTGCTAAAGTATTAATAAATTCTCAGTTGGAAAATGGAGATTTTCCTCAACAGGTAGTAATGGTTTCTCTTGATAACCTCGTAATCTCATTCCTTGTGTTGATAACCTCATAACCCTTGAAGTTTACATGATTTGGGCATGGATATAGAATAGTCTTAGGCATAATAGGGTGCTGGAAATATGCGTACCATCCTATTTAAAAAGGATGAGATTTCCAAACCTGCATGGTCATAGTTTTTTTCTCACTTGCAATGTATAATTTTATGAGTCAAAGGTATGTTGAGTAGTTGGTATAGTAGTAAATGGAAACAAAGGTTGTTGACTTGCATGACATAAGATTTGACCATTCATAATTTCTTTTTCTTGAATTTCTCAGGAAATAGTAGGAGTCTTCAACAAGAACTGCATGATATCATATTCTGCCTATAAGAACATATTCCCAATATGGGCATTGGGAGAATACTGCAATAAGATCCTGAAAGCTGGCCAGCCGTGAGTGAAAGAACAGTTCCCAGTTTATGCCACCTCCATTTGTTTATTTTTTTACCTTGCTTCAGTAACTTCTTTGTTTTCCGTACTATGTTGATTTTCTGCAATGTTTTCACCCTTGTTACTTGTGGATTTATCTAGCTACTACCTCACATTACTCAGGGCACTTGCTGCTTTTGATAAGGTATCGTACCTGGATGGGCTGCCGGACCGGGTCCACCCCTAGGACTAAGTATGTTTTATTACTCGAATATGACTTTAGTTCTATTAGAAAGAATAGGTTAAATGAGACCAATTGTTGCTTCCCAAAATAGAGTGAATGTTCACATTTTGATAATAAAATAATACCCCCCCGGTCCCAAATTGTAAGATACATTTACTATTCACTTGGTCAACATAAATCACTCTTAATCTTTTACTTTTTATATCAAAAGATTATGAAATATGAATTATTTTTTGCAGGTTTTGTAGCGGTTTTAATATAGTATTTGAATATGTATTTTTTTTAAAACTAATTTGAGTGTTGACAGGGATCAATTTGCTTTATCATTGGTCAAACATCGTAAACTGTATAGTATCTTACAAGTTGGGACAGAGGGAGTAGTAGTCTTATCTATGAACTTTGTCTTTTAATCCTATTAGGGAATTTTTTTCGGATTAAAAATTACTATGCGCTCTTTTTAGTGGGGTAAGAAGAAAAAGTAGATGAAATTAAATAACTTGAGCGGGGAAAAAGATTAAGTTAATGATGGTCAAGAAAAAAACATTTAAATCTTGAACTCTAGCTCATGTACATCAAGGATGTTTTTACTTGGATGGTTTTCAGTCTCAGACTAGATTTAAACATATCAGACTAGACTTAAACAGATTTGACTTGACTTCCGTAGTTATAAAATACATAGAGAACAAACGTTTATCGTACTAGATCAGACCATTTCAGATGAAATCAGATTTAAATAGACCAGATCAGATTAGATTTAAATAGAGTAAACTAGATCATCAAATTAGAGTCTAGGTAAAACCGTAAAAACATCCCAAGTGCATGAGCTCCATAAAATTTTGCAATAGCGATAGACTATGAAAATATGAATTAGGCTATCTCAAGTAGGAGTAGACGGAAGACAAGGTTTTGGTAGGAGTGGTCCTCCAGTTATGGATTGTTTCCGGCCTTAAGACTATTTGGAACAGAGTCCAGCCATTGTGCTGGATCGTATCAGGTTCATTTTTCCGGTTCTCGATGAAAACCGGGTACCTGACCAGGTGAATAGGGTACCAGGCCTTGTTTCAATGATTTGGGGATTGAATCGGATAGTCTTGGTTTCAGTCCTGATTGGTTATTTTTATTTTCAGCCCTGAGATCAGGCAACAACAACAACAACATCCAAGTCTTAATCCCAAAAGAATTTGGGGGCGGCTAACATGAATCGATCTATGATATCGATGCCTAAAAGAGAAGGTAGACAAGAAAACAAAAAAAAGTAAGATAAAATGAATAAAATAAAGATACATAAATATAAGATAACAATAACACAAGAATATAACCAAGATAAAAGAAAAATAAATAAAAGAGCATAAAAAATCTAGAAGATAAAAATAGCATAAGAATATAAAAAGATAAGGAAGATAAACGATAAAAGAAACAAGAGAGGAAAGGTAGACAAGACATCAATCATCCACATGGATGTGTGCCCTCCACTTTACTCTCTCCAAAGTCATACTCTCATCCAAACCAAGAAGACGCATATCAGTTCTGATTACTCTAATCCAAGTCTGTTTGAGTCTTCCCCTCCCTCTCTTCTCTGACTCTTCTCCCCACCCCTCAAGTCGTCTAATAGGTGCATCACTCGGTCTTCTATGCACAAGCCCAAACCACCGCAAACGAGGCTCATGCACCTTATCTTCTATAGGTGCTACTCCCACCTTTTGTCTGATTACCTCATTCCTCAGACGGTCTTTTCTGGTATGTCCACACATCCAACGCAATATACGCATCTGTGTCACACTCATCTTTTGAATGTGGAATTGCTTCACCGCCCAACACACTACGCCATACATTAATGTCGGTCTAATTGATGTACGATAAAATTTACCTTTCAGTTTAGTCGGCATACCTCGATCGCATAGAAATCTTGAAGCACTTTTCCATTTCATCCACCCAGCTCTGATTCTATGACATACATCTCCATCTAATTCACCATCCTTCTGAATTATGGATCCCAAGTAACGAAACATATCACACACCGGTATCTCCTTACCATCAAGAGTAATCCCACTGTTGCTATTGCTTCTACCTCCATCGAACTTGCACTCCATATACTCAGTCTTGCTTTGGCTCAGTTTGAAACCCTTGCTCTCCAATGTTTGTCGTCATACTTACAACTTTGCTTTAACACCGGATTGTGTCTCATCAATCAATACAATATCGTCGGCAAACATCATGCACCACGGTATATCTTCTTGAATTGACTTCGTAAGTTCATCCATGACTAAAGCAAATAAGAAAGGACTCAGAGCAGATCCTTGGTGCACTCCAATAGTAATAGGGAACTCTGCGGTCCTCCCTACACTAGTGTGGACACTTGTAGTACAAACATTATACATATCCATGATGATGCTGATATACTTACGTGATATGCCTTTTCTAGTTAAGGCCCACCAAAGAATTTCTCGAGGTACCCTATCATATGCCTTTTCTAAGTTAATGAACACCAAATGCAGATCCTTTTTAGTGTCTCTATACTTCTCCACAACTTGTCTAAGAAGGTGAATGGCCTCAGTTGTTGAGCGTCCCGGCATAAAACCAAATTGATTCTCCGAAATTTTCACACTTTTACGTAGTCTTTGCTCAACCACTCGCTCTCAAAGTTTCATGGTGTGACTCATAAGCTTAATCCCTCGATAGTTAGCACATTCTTGTACATCACCCTTATTTTTAAATAAGAGAATGAGAGTACTCTTCCCCCAACTCACTGGCATTTTGTTGTTTGCACCCCACTTTATTGTTGAAATTAGACTTTGCACCCCATTTTTGAAATCTTTAGTATTTGCACCCCAATCCCGTATGAAAAGACTAAAATGCCCCTCAGTTAACAATATTGTTGGCCTTCAACGTATTTCTGATTGAGGGGCATTCTTGTCTTTTCATACGGGGTTAGGGTGCAAATACTAAGAATTTCAAAAACATGGTGCAAAGTCTAATTTCGACAATAAAGTGGGGTGTAAACTCAAATTATCCCAATATTCAAATTAGAAGGTAAGTATCACTAAGAGATGCTTATATTTATCCAATTATTTTGCATAAGTCTCAAAAAGTTGAGATTCTGCAGAATGTGAACCATACAAAAGCATTTTTAGAAATTATACATGATTAAAAAAGAAAGGATCAAAAGATATTGTAAACTATAAATAAACCAATTTTTTACTCTTAGATATACATAAACCAAAGTATAGAGCATCTTATATGCAAAAATAGACATATACCCTTATCGGGAGGTTCACTTCATCCTCTCTTTCCTATTAGAGAGACTGCTATGATAAATTTTTAGTGAAGTGAAATATTTAGTGAGAACAAAGAACTGCTATGATAAATTTTTCCTCCACCAAACTCACAAATTAACAAATGAGTAGATTTATACTGGTTAAATAGCATCTAGTACAGCACCGTTGACAGTTCATTAATGAAAAACTATTATTAAGTCTTTGGAGATGCGTTTAGGTTTTCAAGACAGCAGCAGTATTTAATACGAAGTATAAATCATTTTTAGTGGGATATAGGGGTGTTCGAAACTGATTCTGATTCTTTTTTAAAGCAAAAGCAGAATAAGAATCAGTTTTCAGAAGCTGATCACCCTCAGCTTCTAAAAAAACTGATTCTAAGAGTAAATTAGAGCACCAGATCACTTCTGCACTTTTACCCAAACACTCCAAGTTCTGCTTCTGCTCCCTGAAGGAGTAGAAGCAGTTTTAATAATCAAATCCAAACACCCCCATACAATCACAATAATTTGTGCACACTGCACGACACTTTTTGTCTGTACCTCTTGGTCCAAAAGGTGGAATCTCCCACCCCAGGAGCCCCACATACCCCGACTCGACATGATTTTTGGGAGGATGTTAATCACGGTGACTCAGTCGGCCCAATGATGGTAGGCCTTTTTCCCGTACGCACCAGAGGTCCAGCCTTATTTCAGGTTCTGTGACCTCCACACGGCCGCTGCGGATTTCGAACCTTGGTCACTTGGTCCAAATTTCCCACCACTGAACCAACTGAGCTACCCGTGCGGGTTTTGTGTGTACCTCTCACATTATTTAGGTAGTTGCCACATTTATGGCTGGGAATAAACCATCACATTTATATAGGCACACTTAGGGATGGACTCGGGTCCGGGCCGGGTCCGGGTCGGGCCTAGGCCCAGGCGGGCCGGCGGGTCAGAAATGGTGGACCCGGGATCGGCCCGGGTAACCACCGGGTCCGGTCCAGGTCCGGGCCGGGCCGGGCCCATTATATTTTTTTTTTTTTGTGTTTTCCTCTTCCTAATTAACCCCCCTCCCACCCCCAACCCCCCAAACCACCCCAAATTGCCCAAAATACCCAGCCCAACCCGAAAATTTAAAAAAAAATGAAAAAAAAAATAGTTTTTGGCCCGAACCGGGCCCGGGCCCGACCGGGTCGGGCCTTGTTTTGGGTGACCCGAGCCCGGACCGGAAAACCCACGGGTCGGGCCTACCCGGACCGGTCACTGACCGGGCCACCGGGTCGGGCCGGGCCGGAACAGTACCGGTCCCGGGCCGGTTCCGGGTCGGGCCACCCGGCCCGAGTCCATCCCTAGCTAGGCACACTCCATGACACTACATCATTATTGCACACCAGCCGAATGTTTAAATCTTTATCCAGTTTCAACCGTGAAAACCTTTTCTAATTTTGTCTACTTTATTTTACGAAAATTACTTCAAACCAAAGATACAATATGATTCAACAATAAATTGTTATCAAAATTGATTCGTTGTCCAATGATACAGTGCAATTTTTTTCTTTAAAATTATTTATTTAAATTTTAATTCTTTTTAAAAAAGAATTGAATAAATTTTTATAATTTTTTTACGAAATGATTTACTTTTTTATTTATCAATTTTTATAAGAAAGGAAAAATTGATTGTAATAATCCCAACTATTGGCGGTCCGCTTATAATAATCTCAACTATCGATTATTTCAGAATAATCCCAACTTTAGAGACCTTCCGCCAATAATGGTCCGACGTGACCGATCATAAATAAATTTCTATAGTTTCTAAAGAGATATAGCAGGTAATCCCTGTAAATAATCCCAAATTTTAATTTCTTTAATCATTAATCATTAAATTTTAATTTCTTTCAGAATGATGATTTCAGCAGTGATGTAACTCAGATCTCGGGTGCCCTTCTTTTCTTAAGAAGATTTCGGGTGTCCTTCAATTATCAAATTTCGAGGGTGCTTGAGCAATGCAAAGAAAATCTCGGGTCATGCTCGAAATCTGAAATTCGGTGCAGCGAAGGAAAACAAATCTTGGGCAATTGAAACAGAACAGGCTCGAAATCTTTTTAAGATGCCGAAATCATAGATTTCGGGTGAGCGAAATACATATCTTCAAGAAACTAGAGTTCTTGTTCCGTGATCTTCTCTCTTTTACAACAACAACCTTCCAAAAATATAGTCACTTTCCAAGAACAAGTCCAAAAACTAATTCAATCAAAAGTTGCAATTTTGATCAAATTAGTTCCAGAAAAATTCGTAGATTCGAACGAATAGAATTACGCCGTGGCTCTGATACCAACGGTTTGAGTGATCCCAGATCAACAGTCAAATAAATCTAAATAATAATATGAAGAATTTAGACAGTAGAAGAATAATTCATCAACATTCAATACAGTATATTCATAAAGATGTAGCAATAATGCTTATTACACGGATGAACTGTTGTGAGAGAATTATCTAGGTACTCTACGAGAATAATATGTGCGGAATAGAATGTGTAGAGGCTTTTCTCTCTATTCTAACGTGGGAACTTCTAATAATGATGTGACTATTCTAATTGTGAAGCTCTTAATCATGCTCGGTCCATACTGCCTTTATTTATAGGCATATGGCCAAACATCCTAGTTACAATAGGATGAGCAGGGTTAATCTAAATAAATGGCCACTAATTAATTTAATAGCCCACTAATTAAATCTAATAGACAAAGATAAATCTAATTAAATTGAACACAATAAAATATGTTTTAACAGGCCGAGGTGTGTATGCCCTGCCCCTGGTGTTTTCCATGCACATGAATGACTCTATCTGGGATGCTTGGGTGGTCCTGGACGAGGTGTCACTAGTCAAGGTGACTAATACAAGCATCGGTCTTGATTCATTGTGTTGGATGTCTTTGATTGACTTCTGTTGCTCTTTTCCAGTTTGTGTCATCATATGACCTAGTGGGCAAAGGTCATGCATGTGGGTTAGATGAACTTGGGCCGCTGTGTGTTCGAGCCCATATACTCTATCACTACTATAATCACTAGTTACATTTTCATAAATAATCATTATTTCAGTGATTCGTATGTAATTATTTCATAGGGAAAGTATGGAAAATGTACTTATGGTTGGGCTCGTTTTTAGATAGGATCATATGTTTCATTTTTTATCAAAATGGTTCATGTGTTTGAACTCCATTATCACAACAGGGTTCTGGTACCTGACACCGTTAAAAACGTCTGAGGAAGACGATGAACAATAACTCCAAATTTTAAAAGTGCCCGGAAAATTAAAAGAAAAATACCGTAAGGTGCGTCTTCTCAAGCTAAGGTGACCTATCCACCTTCGTCTTTAGGTTTTTCGGATCTTTTTGGGTTATCAATTAAAAATGAATTCGCTAATATCACTTTTCGATGGACTTTCCAGTGACAAGGGTGGTTGGAAACAAAAAAAGAAAGATGGCCTAACGGTCGTCTTGTTGAGGCGCACCTTCCGGTATTTTTCTTTTAATCTTTCGGACACTTTTGAAAATCGGAATTACTGTTCATCGTCTTCCTCCACCGATTTCTAACGTCGTCAGGCACCAGGCCCGTGTTGTGATAACAGAGTTCAAACACGTGAACCACTTTGATGAAAAATGAAACACACGACCCTATATGAAAACAGGCCCAACCAGATATACCTTTTCTGTAGTTTCCCTGTTTCATATATGTAATGTCCTCACAACTATCTTTGAACAATATACAGGTATAACATGATACTGATTGTTATCTTCATCTTTATTAACTACGAAAATTTAAGGACATAATAGTATTTATTTGATAATTTTATTTTTATTTGTTGTGAAGTACGGAGTAAGTTTTTTTTATTTGTTTTGAAGTAAGTTTTTACTTTTTGTAGGGGTAAGCATGGTCCAACACGATCTATTATTTTGATGAACCCGTACTCACACCATAACTGTTGAAACTATTCGATATTAGATCTAAACCCGTTCAATCGTTACATTTTCAAACATGATGGTATCATACCATACCAATTCCAAACAACGTGACTTTTTTCAATTGTTAAATAGTAAATTTAAGTTTAGCCATACTTCAAGTATCCCACATAAATTATCAATCCCAATTCCATATTAAATAATTAATAAAATTGAGATAAATTGTAATTGTACAATATATAAATCAAGAGTGATGACATTTAACCACGAGTAGGATACTTATGGTATTAGGTACCCCTATAAAGCAAAATTAATTATTACTTTGGAATAATAACTAATAAAGCAAAAAGATATTTTGTATTAAGGACTCATGGTATACTTGTATGTTAAACATATACTTCAGATCTACACAGTCTGATATCGATTTTCATTCTATGAGAATTAATCATGACATGGTGTGGAACCGATGTAATATTGTTCATTGTTCATGATAGAAATTTAGAGATCTATTTGAAATTCCCTTTCCGGTTTGGTGCCATACTGACCAGTTCGGTGAAACGTTGATTCAGTATTTTTCCCATCCCTGTTTTTTGTGTGTCAAAGGATTTTTTTTATTAATTATAGCCCGTTTGATAACACTACAATTGACTGATATTGCGAAAGTTTATGAAGGTATGTTTGAAGTGGCTGAATTGACTACATGTGTTGATTTATGATTAAATTATATTTAAAATATATTTATTATCAAAATAAAAAATTGAAAATAACTAAAATGGTCCTGTAAAGGGCCTCTACAATAACTTCGATCTAAACCATTAATAAAGTAATTTTAACATTATTTCTGTTGATTATTACACAATCGAGCGTAATAGAATGCATGCAAGACTGTCATGTGGTGTTGACAGTTTCATATAAGAAATGAAGGCCATCATAAAAAATGATATGTGGGGGAATTGACCACTTTACCCAATGGACACAAAGCAATTGGTGCAAAATGGATGTTTAAAGAGAAGAAGAATGTCATGGAGGAAGTTGAAAGGTACAAAGCAAGGTTGGTTGCAAAAGGGTACAACCAAAGAGCCGGTATCGACTATGAAGAGGTATTTGCTCCCGTTGCCCGTTTGGAAACTATAAGATTTTTAATTTCCTTGGTGGCTCAAAATAAATGGAAATTTTTTCAAATCGATGTGAAGTCCGCTTTTTTAAATGGAAAGTTAGAAGAAGAAGTTTATTTAGAACAACCACCGGGATATAAAATAAAAGGGCATGAAGATAAAGTTCTAAGATTAAAAAAGGCACTTGACAGTTTGAAGCAAGCCCCAGGAGCTTGGAATACTAGAATTGATAAGTATTTCCAAGTAAATAATTTCATAAAATGCCCCCATGAACATGCTATATTATTCAAATTGATTGTTTGCCTTTATGTTGATGATCTAATATTCATGGGAAATAATCCCAATTTATTTGAGAACTTCAAAAAGGCAATGAATCAATAATTTGAAATGACCGATATGGGTTTAATGTCTTATTATTTGGGAATCGAGGTAAAACAAAGTGAAAGTGGAATTTTCATCAGTCAAGAAGGGTATGCGAAGAAAATCTTTGAAAAGCTTAAAATGGATGATTGCAATCCAATCAATACACCGGTGGGATGTGGGGTCAAATTATCCAAGTTTGGTGATGAGGAAAAGGTAGAACCCATGATGTTCAAGAGCTTAGTTGGGAGCTTACGATACCTGACTTGTACAAGGCCCGACACTTTGTACGAAGTTGGTCTCATTAGCCGGTACATGGAAGATCCAAGAACCTCTCATTGGAAGGCCGCCAAGAGAATTCTTCGCTACATCAAAGGTACTCTTAATTTTGGCTTGTTTTGCAATTCTTGCAAAGATTTCAAGCTTGTTGGGTATAGTGATAGTGATTGGACCGGAGATGTAGATGACCGTAAGAGTACTACCGGATTTGTCTTTCTTATGGGTAATACGGCTTTTACTAGGAGTTCAAAGAAGCAATCTATTGTGACCCTCTCTACATGTGAAGCCGAGTATGTTGCGGCCAACTCTTGTGTTTGTCATGCTACATGACTCCATAATTTATTTAAGGAAATAGGCATGCCACAAAAGGAAGCTACGGAGATATATGTGGATAATAAGTCGACAATAACATTGGGAAAGCATCCGGCATTCCATGACCATAGCAAGCACATTGATACCCGCTATCACTACATTCGACAATGCATTGAAAGAAAAGAGCGAGGTTGAAGTAAGGTATGTAAGGTCCCATGATCAAATCGCCGACATTTTTACAAAGCCGCTCAAGCACGAAGATTTTCGAAGGTCGAGGACCATGCTCGGAGTTACAAAAACAAGTTTAGTGGATGTTGAAAATTAAACTTGTTTTTTGGGCCTAACTAATATTTACTTTAGTTGTTGTTGGGAAGGCCCAAGTGCTAGAAGAATGTAGAAAGAATAAATTCAAGAGCTTCTCTAGAAGATAAGGTCTCTAGAACTCTCTTATCATTAATTGTATAGAAATGTCTAGAATGCATTAATTATAGAAGAGTATAGACACTTTTGTACTAGTATAAATAGAGCTCTCCTACCACCACTTTGTATCAAGCAAATCAAGCAAATTGAGTTGTTCTGATAAAAAGAGTTCTTCCCGTTTGTTCAAATATCTCTTCCATAATATTTCTAATTTAGCCTCCCAATTTCCCAAATCTTCCTTCACTTATTTCCAACGGTGCCGGACCTGAGAAAGGAAGAAAGAGTCCAAACCTCGAATGGTCTAGAGAGAGACGCTATCAACTTCTCCCTTCAGGCGCCAGGTTAATTGTACTTATAATTTGTGTTTTGGTGGTTATTTTCGGTTCTAGGTTTCATGTACACTTTCTTTCACATAATGTATTTAAAAGTTTAGTACATTTTCCCCTTTTTAATAAGTTTTACTTTCTAGGTCACATCTTGGAGAATGAGAAACGAGTTTCTATTTCGACGCTTGAGGATGTTTCATGTTTGGGACTTTGATGAAAATCGGGATATTTGTGAAAAAGCTTAGTTTGTCATCATCATCATCATTATCATCATCATTACCCCAGTGCCGCAAAGACTCCCACCTACGGTGGGGTATGGGGGGTCGGATGTACGCAGTCTTACCCCTGTACTAAGTACAGAGAGACTGTTTCTGAATGACCCGTAGTGAAAAAGCTTAGTTTGTCACGAGAGAAAATTGTTTACCTTTAGTGAATTTGAATACTCAAACAAAAATGTAAAAGAAGAAGAATCAATGATCAAACAAAAATGTACAAGAAGAAGAATCTTATGAGAACTAGATTTCAAACAGGTGTGGGACTTTGAAGACGTGTGAGATCACTCTAGGTTTTCTAGGGTTAAATGACTTTGGCCAGTGCCTATATCACACATCCGGGTGTATGTACACCCGGCCCAACTAAGGAAGACAGCCCAATAACTAATATAAACAAACCTTTTTAGGTGGCATTTTTGTAATTTAAGCGAAAAATCATGGCTTCCGCTAAATGAGCAATATTGTACTTTGAATGAGCATTTGACCTGTTTATTGAGTATCTAAGAGGTTAACAATGAGTATCACGATCTCTGCTTCATATCTTCTAATTCTTTTTTCTTTTTCTTATTTTTTCTCTTATAAAATCTTATTAAATTATATCTATAATCCACTCCTATTAGTTTCAATATGCGAGTCTAATGTAATATGATACTTTTGAAATATACATTGATATGACATTTTAAAAATGAGCATATATAATTTACAAAGTGCACATTGATATGAAAATCGTAAGGTTTGTTAGTTGAACATCACAACACTTCAATTGAGCATCGAACGTCCGCTGTTGATATGAAAATCACGATTTATGGTGAATGAGCATTAATGAACTTTTAATGAGCATCAGACCTATTATGTTAAGTATTAGGAGTCTAATATTCAGAATCGTGATTTCTGTTTCATAACTTCTAATTCACTTTCTTTTTGTTATTTTTTCTTTTAAAAAAACTTATTACATTATACTTATATATAACTCATATTAATTTCAATATGTGAATCTAATGTAAATTGGTACTTTTAAAAATGCATTGATATGACATTTACAAAATGAGCATAAGATCAGTACCGTCAGTGGCGGATCTAGACATCGAAGCTCAGTGTATGCACATAAATAAAACTAATAGTATATTACATGAATTAAAAAAAGCTAAATAAAATGTATAGATATAGTAAAAGAAAATGTACCTTTTATAGCTGTCCTCGGCGTGCTTGCATATTTTGAAAGTGCTGAATAATTAACTCATCATCAATGCTATCAAATACATCATTTTCTATATAAGGAACTAAACAATCATTCATATAATCATCTCCCATCCGATTTCGCAACTCGGTCTTCACAATTTTCATCGCTGAAAAGGCTCTTTCAACCTTGGCGGTAGCAACAGGTAATGTCAATGCCAACTTCAGAAGTAAATAAACTAATTGATAAACACGATGTTTTCCGTCTTCACCAACATCTCTGCAAGGCAAGCAATTCCTTTCAAGTCTGAAAATTCATCATTACTGCGCATATCAATAATATAAGTCTCCAACTGATTTTCAAGAACTACCAACTCCAAACTAGAGAAATCATTTGGATAAATGTTAGCAAACTCAATCAACTTGAGCTTGTCAAATGCTTCAAAGGACTTGTCTGGACTCAAGCAGCTCAAACAAAGAAGCAACTTAGTGTTGGACTCACTAAAACGGTAATTAAGTTCTTGAAGCTGCATATCCACAATTGTATAGAATAAGTCATACTTATAATGCTCCCAATATTTTATATCCTTAGCTTTGCGTCGTGACCTGCCTTTTGGTATAAATTTATCTTCCATATTAGGAATGTCAAGATCATGAACTGTGCAAAATGAAGACACTTCCTCCAATAATGGATCCCATCCATTATCTCTCATATCTTGCAAGCGCCCCTTTGCAATAGTTACTAATTGCATCGCATTAAGGATATCTTGATCCTTTCTTTGCAATGTTTGAGATAGTTCATTTGTAATTCCCAAGACGGTCTTCATCAAATGCAAAAAGAATGCAAAATCAAAAGTTTGTATAGAGTCTAAATGTCGCATAGCCTCGCCCTTTTGATCTGAAGTCACCCCGTCTTCTTTTATAACTTCAAGAACATCAATCACCGAGGAATACATTTGAACTAAACTAATCAAGCTGCCGTAGTGTGAACCCCAACGAGTTTCAAGGCCCTTTTTGCAAATAAAACCTTCTCACTTTATCTTGATCATTTGGATGATAACTACAAATTTTTGGACGTAATCCCGGGTCTGTTGGCAAATCATCTAAATTGACCTCAATCCTAGGTTGCTTAAAAGAACGGGACCCGCTAGCTTCATTATGAATTACATCACGACTTCCTCTTGTAACGGTAACAAAATTATACATGGACATTGTATCTACAGAAAATGTATAAATCAAAATCTGATTATAAATATGAACACTAGAATATATTAATATTAATATTATAATATACTAACTGAAAAACGAAAAAAATATAAATTCAAAATTGGTTATTGTTATTTCCCCCTAGTTACAAATATAAAATTAATAACATACAAAAGTAAAATTACAGTACTGGTTGTTTAAATGTGAAGTACGTTTAAGTACTAGAGATTAAAAAAATACAATATTAACAATAATATTAATTAGGCTTTAATAATTTATGAAAAAAATGAATAAAACCTTGAGAAGTTGAGTGAATGTGAATTCCGGATTTCCAGCCGGTCCTCTACTGAGTATTGCCTGCAATTTCACCCACAGATAAATTATATAATACATATTTAAATAAATAGATTGATTGTTTCACTGTTAATAACAATAATAATTTCGAAAATTAAATGAATTATAACCATAACTAATATCTACTAAGCTTTAATAATGTTAGAGAATAAAAAACCCGGAATAGAACTAAGCTCTAAGCTAAGGAGCTCATAGCCATTGCCCATTTGCCGGCTTGTGTGCCGCTGAAAAGATACGTACGTTAGTACGTACAAGAGGAGCTTTTGATTTTTGAGAATAGGTTTAGGGGGATTCGAACCACTGACGTGAAGCCTAGTGAAGCATCTAAATTTTATGCTACTACCATATAGGCCAGTGAAGCTTTTTGAGGTGAAGTCAGTGCTTACCCTCATTATACTGTAGGTCCGCCCCTGAGTACCGTATGAGCATACGTAACTTACAAAATGCGCATTGAAATGAAAATCTTAAGGTTTGTTAGTTGAACATCATGGCATTTTTATTGAGCATCAAACCTCCTCGATTGAGATCGATGGAAATCACGATTTCTGTTAAATGAGTTTTAATGAATTTTTAATGAGCATCATACCTATACAAATGATCATATGTAACTTTCAAGATGAGCATTGATATGAAAATGGCAAGTTTTGTTCATTGAGCATCAATAAATTTTCAGTGAGCATCAAACCACCGTTATTGAGTATTAGAATCGTATGGTTGAGTATCATGATTTGTGTCTCGTGTCTATAATCAACTTCTATGTGAATATAATGTAATATGAGACTTTTGAAATATGCATTGATATAACATTTTAAAACTATAACAGAGGTGCTAAATGAACATACATAACTTAAAAATCTCTAAAAATTCAGACCAGATCAGATCAGAAAGATTCAGATCAGATCAGATCAGAAAAATTCGAATAAGATCAGATCAGATATTTAAAAAATTTAGATAAAAAACATTCAGATAAGAAGAAGAGAACAGATTGTACACAAATTATTTTAGGAAAAATTGAAAATAATAATCCCAACTATTACCGATCCGCTATTAATAATCTCAACTATCGAGAGCATTTTCCAAAAATAACCTGGTATAACAGGTCAAATTTAAATGCGAACTATGCATAAACTCTAAATAATCCCAACTATAGTTGATCTACTTTTATTAATCCCAATTATCAACTCTCAATTTTAGAAAAATATAAAAAAAATTATAAATTTTTAAATTAAATATTTTTAAACATGTAAAAATTATTATGAAAATTCTACAAATGTACCAAAGTTAAATAAAATAGTTTTAGTCATTTTTTATTTATTTTCGCTATTTTTTTTCTTTTTTCCAACTTATTATTCCCAGTTATGTGAACAAGTTATGATTTAGTATTATTTTCCTATATTCAATATTACAATTTCTGTTTTCAAAAAGCAAGATGTGACTAAATTTTGTATGATCGAAAGCATTATTCTAGTTTTTTCATAAAAATATATTTTATTTAAATTTTATGCTATGTTATTTCTAAAAATCTAAATTCTCTATTTTATCCATTTTAGTATTTGTAATTTCTTCTATTTTTATATTATTATATGAAATAGTTTATCGTTCAATTTTTGTGATTTGAGGTATACGTTTTGGAGGTTTTGGATGTTTTTAATGAAAATGTATTATTATTGTAAATTTAAATGATATAATGGAAATTGTAAAATATGTAGTGATGGAATATATGGCCCAGAAGTTCCCGGCAGGTCCAGATGGGCCAAGCCCAACAAACATACGCATGATGTGCCTTCGGCCCCACGCGCCGAAGGCTTTAAACTCAAGAAACCTGGTCTAGAAACATCACCAAAGAATATGGCTTGAAATAAGATTTAAATCACAATTTTTTTAATCACAATATACTTTTTAAAAACACAAAATGTAAATTTGAATAAAGGAAAATAATACAAAATCATAACGTGTTAACAAAACTAGGAAAAATAAATTGAAAAAAGAAAAAATGAAATTTTTGTGAAAATAAATAAAAAATGGCTACAAATATTTTTATTTAACTTCGATACATTTGTAGAATTTTCATAATTATTTTTACATGTTTAAAAATATTTAATTTGGAAATTTATAAAAACATTATCATATCATTTTAAAATTGAGAGTTGATAATTGGGATTAATAAAAGAAGATCGACTATAGTCGGGATTATTTATAGCTTACCCATAGTTCATATTTATATTTGACCTGCTATACCAGGTAGTAGCAGGTTAGGGACTATTTTTGGAAAATGATCCCTATAGTTGGGACCACCGAGAAATAATCGATAGTTGAGATTATTAGTAGCGGAACAGTAATAGTTGAGATTATTATTTTCCATTTTTCGGTTATTTTATTATTATTAGGTCGCGCCATTACATGAGCCGTGAAGGTGGAGCGGAAATTAGGAAGAAAAATGGATATTCTGAGGCTCCTTCTCTCTGCTTTGCTGGTTGCCCTTCTCTCCATAGCCTCACTCCCTCTTCTCCATCGCAAAAACCTCCGCACATATTCCCACTTCGCAGACTTAGTGGTCCGAAATGCCACCATTTACACCAGCGACGAAACTCTCCCATTTGCCGACTCCATGGCCATTCGCGGCGGTAGGATTCTCCGAGTCGGTACATATTCATCAATCCAGGTAGTCGAATCTGGGCTCTCTCCGTTTATGGGTTTCTTATATCTGAAAATCTTTGTTTTCGTCTAAAATTAGCTGGTACAGTTCAACCTCGTTGACTATTAATTTCGCCATGGTACACCTCTTCTTGCAATGTTGCACTTGCAGAGTTGCATCGAGTTCAATTTCAACTTTCATTTGATTAGGTTCTCGTTTTTTCATTTAAATCACTTCTATTATGAGCATGAATGTTCCACAAAAAATTATTATACTTAGCTGAAAGATACTGCCTTGAGACATCGAGTCCTTTGTAATCAACTCAGTTAGAGCCTGGGCGTGCTTGGCAATTAGTTGTTTTAATTAGCCATTAGTTGATTGAGTTAGCCATTTCTATTAATTGTTTACTTGTTTTGACCTGTTCTTCAACCTAGCTATTAATGTAAAGGTTTTTTTAATACTAGCGATTAACTACTAGTTGTCTGAATGCATGAAATGACATATAAAGAAATTGTGTTATTTCATTCGTATTTCTGTGATTGATAAATACTTTTCTCTATATTTCATCTCTTGCACTTCACATATGATCTCATTTAATAGATATTCATATAGCTTCTGTTTGTGTTTTGTAAGGTCAGTTTTAATCTAGCATTTGTATTATGTATTTATAATTTTTAGAAAGAAGATACCTAAACTGTGACCGGACTGGGATTATCTCATATCTTTCACTATGCAACCAGCAACCTACATCCCCATCAGGGCCGGTCCTGAGGAAGGCCCTGTCCAACAAAAATAATTGGGCCCTCTTTTCAAAGTTGCAACACAATTTAAAAAACCGAACCAAAACCGCACCGGCTCAAACGGGACTCAAAAGTCGGGACTCGAACATAAATCGGTTTAATGAAGGTTTTTTGAGTTATAAAATCGGTTCAAACCGAACCGAACCGATTTTAATTAAGAGGTATTTTTAATTATTTATTTTGTAGAACAAATAGGTAATATAAAGCTTGTACGTCCTTATTTAAACAATTAGTTGATTCGGTCCAATGCATGATTTTATTTTCACCTGGGTTCGAATCCCGCATGCCTCACTTCTTATCTTTTTAGTTTCTAAAGCTTAAGATTCCCACACCGGTGAAAACGGAGGATTTAGTACTCCTTCGTTCCTATATATACGCTCCACCTCTAAGTAATATTACTCCCTCCGTCCCAAATTGTTTTGCAAAATCAACATTTTTTGGTCAACCAATAAAAAAAGTCAATGCTCGCTATCGATAATTAATTCCATTTTTAATAATTAAAATTTATATATTCAGAAACTATATTAATATCTCTTCAAAGTTGTAAATTCCAAATTAGAATATTATTAAAAATTGACATCTTAATTAATCAAATAAAATGAAATTGTTTGACCAAGAAAAGTCAAATTTGCAAATCAATTTGGGACGAAGGTAGTAGTATATTACTACAAAAAAAAATTGAGCCCTTCCAATTTTTTGGGCCCTGTGCGGTTGGACACCCTACACACCCTTAGGGCCGGCCCTGATCCCCATTATACACAAACCAGGAGGTCAATGACCCCTTTTCAAAGTGAAAATCGCCATATGACTCGAGCCTTCTCATGGAGACATAACACTAGACCATATTTTTGCTTTGTCATGTTTCAAATTGCATGGACTTAATGATTACGCAATTTGTAATGTACATTTTTTGCACTTTCATTACCAAAATTTCAATTGAATTGCATCCAAGTACGTGTGGCATTTGAAAGCATGATGGTGATCATATGATCACTTGAATAGCCATGCATTATGCTCACAGATGAGCAGAGAGACAGAGAGTATAGCACCAAATAAAGGCAATAATTAATTGATATCCCGAAGTTTACTCCCTCTGATTTTTTATTATTTGTTCAAACAGGGTTCAGATCGAGTTTAATATGAAAATAGTAGGGGTAGTGAGTGGTAGGTGAATAATGATGGAAAAGTAGCAAAAGAGAGATTAAATGAAAAGGTAAGGATTTTTATTTAAATGTAAAGCAAGAGAGAGATGATTATAAAAGTTGCCAAATCAGGGGGAGAAAATAAAGAAAAAAACTTCACAGAGGAATGTGGAAGAAAAAATTTAAAAACAGAGGGAGTTTTATCTTTTTCATTGTCTTACATTTTTCACCATTTGCATTAAAGGCACTGGTACATTTTTCTATCAATTTAGGACATTAAATATGTTACATATTCTTGGCACTTGGAGATTTGCGGCTTTGTAAATTCAGTTTTAAAATGGTGTAAATATGAACACAGGAGTTGGTTCGAACTGAGACTAAGCAGCTTAATGTAGAAGGGAAAGTTATTGTTCCAGGATTTATTGA